GAGGTCTTCATCATCTTTCCTTCCTTTGATTGATAAATCAAGACACAATATAACGCAACAAGTAACTGTTCATCCACAACATACCTGTTTAGTGATCAACTCAGCATAGATTCTTGATGAAGGGGGATTATTAATGTTACGTCACTCTAATAATATGAAGTAAGTCAAGTCAAAACAAATGAGTAAATCTTAATTTAAAAAACAATTTTGCTGCACTATTATTTTCAAATAACTGTAAGATTCAGGAGTTTTATTTCAATAGTTTATAGTTAACTATCTTTCATGTAAGAGGTCAGACATTGTATCTAACATGATGCATAGTGAGGCACACTTGTGGAAAAATGCTCCATTTGAAATATTTTTGTAATCAGACTTCAGTCCAGAGGGATATCTTGTTTGTTTTGTGACAAAAGTGAAACACTGACTTCAATAATTACAACTGGGGATTAAGTTATTACTCTCAATATTAGCAGCTTTATGCAGACTGGACTCAATAAAAAGAAAACAAAAGTAAAGAAGTACACTCACCATCAGAGTTTACAGACACGTTAAGTTCTTCACTTTGTTATGTGTTGTCTTTAACTTTCACCTAAACTTGAGGATATTTTTTGTCTACATTTTAATTATCAATATTCACTAAACATGTGCAGCACAGACTATGGGACTATGGGATTTACATGTTCATTTATGTACTATATTATATATTCATCAAGGTCCTCCTCTGTGGAACCAGCTTCCCGTTTCAGTCCGGGGGGCAGACACACTCAGCACATTTAAGAGCAGGCTTAAGACTTTCCATTTTTGATAACGCATATAGTTAGGGCTGGCTCAGGTTTCATCAGTGGATGGAGTTTGCTCATTTCACAGAATTTCGTTGTGTTTTTATTATGTCTTTATTGGTGAAAAATAAATCCATTGATTATGAGTAACCTCTTTCTTTTTTCTCCTTTGATTCTGAGCGGTAGAAGTGATGATATAAGATGTATCTGATGAATATAGTTTTGTTTTTTAAATGAATGCCAGTTGTTTAAGGTACAAAACTGATTTGTGTTTCTGGACTATATTTAATTTAATGGTTAATTAATGAATGGATGCGTATGATCTTTGTCAATGAAGAATGGATGATGAACTCATGTGGGGTCCAGGCCAATAACTGAGGAAGGAACTTTTAAGTCATCCATAAAAAATCCATGAAAAATGTGGCCTCACTTAATAATCTATTACAGTAACACATGAATTCACCTCCTCAGACCAGCTATGACTAAAATAGCTAAGCCCAGGTTTCAAGACGTGCCAAATATCAGTGAAAACACAAAACCGCCATGTCATAGCTAATTAAAATCTCTTTATTACAATCACATATACATCGTCAAATTCCAAAAAGCTTGCTGTTGTGAAAATTTCCCTTGCACAGACAGATGGAGGTGGTGTTGCAGGCTGGATGGAGGGATTGTCAGATGGAGTAAAATGAGTGTTGAGTTCCCCAGCAGCAAGTGTCTCCGCTCCAGTGTGCTTTTAATTTCACATCACATGAGGACAGCAGCTCTATTTTCAGCTCTCAGTGTCCTTGTGTAACGTAAGCAAAGAGAGTGAAGGGGAGGTGGGGGGGTGGGGAGGAAAAATTCTTTCATCGTCATCCATTATTCACTGTTTGAGTCACAGCTGAGAGAGAGAGAGAGAGAGAGAGAGAGAGAGAGAGAGAGAGAGAGAGAAAACATGGAAACAAACAGATTCCACGTCTATTCTCTCCGAGTCCGAGTGTTTTTTTAAACCAACAGTTTGAAATATGTGTCAGTCCTCCTTGTTCTCTGTGTTCTCTCGAGTCAGATGAGAGGATGGATGTCAGTTTACTCCCTGTGTGTCCGGTACAGAGAGAGGCCCAGGACATGCTCAGCTTAGCACAAAGACTGGGAGCGGAGGGGAACTGCAAGCCTATAGCTCAAGCTTCCAGCAGCTCCGAGGCTGTCTGATTTTGAAATGAACCAGTTGCTTTTGGAATGGCAACCTCACTTTGATAAAAAAGAGCTTTTGAGATGCCCAGTTTAGGCCTCAGATTGTTCAGTGATTCAGCCATGCCTGGTGGTGTGCCCAGTGATGGCTATTTCCCTGGTTGGATTTAACAACTGAGCCTATCAAGAGTTTTGTTGACTAGTTTGTTAGCTTAGAGGATATATCTCATAAATCACACAGCTTTGGAGTTGTTTATATTTTTTCCTCCACCACCACTGATCCAGACTGAAATATCTCAACTATTTGGATGGACTTCCATGATATTTGGTTCAGACGTTCATGGCCCCCTTAGGATTAATTGTAATCATTTTCAAGATACATTCAACTTTTTATTTCGTGTCATTAGGTACAAATTTAACCAATGCTTCATTGTTTCCCATCAGCCTCAACTGTGCGTAAAGTTTAGAGCTTTTAGACAAACCTTAGCATTCTAACATGTTAAACTAAGAAGGAGACCATTACCTGCTGAACATTGGCATGTTAACATTGTCATTGTGAGCATGACGGTATGCTGACGTTAGCACGTAGCTCAGAGTTTTGCTAGCATTCTTTCATTTTTGATGAAAACAGTCTCGTAGTTTCCTCCGGCTCCCAAACTTTGTACCAACCAAGCTAAACACATCCGGTAAAGCCACAACGTGTCCTTTATATACATTTCTATTCCTACACATGTTAAATTAATACAATTAAACATTTAACATTGGTTAGTGGAAGTTTTTTTTATTTTGCTTCCAGTATTTGTGCTAAGTTGTGCTGAACATGTGCTGGACACATCTCTGTACTGGACACACAGAGAGGAAACTGAAGCATGTGACTCTGGGAGATTTATCTAGAATTGTTGTAGTGTTCCTTTAAGTGTCAGTGATCCTATTTATAATTCATGGATGCCACGTTTAACATTCCGAACAAACTGAACCACTTTTTGACAATATTGTGAGTGTTAAACATACTAATACTACAATGTTAATCTCTGTGCTGTATTTACAGCCTCCATAACACAGCTATAAACCTACAGCATCACATGATAAACCACTGGAGGCGTCTGATGGCATCAGCATGTCCTGTTGCTAACTCCAACCTCACCTGCACCTTCCGACAAAATCAATATGTACATGTCATAATGACACAAAACAACAGTAAAATTCAATTTAGCCGTTTAAAGCGACAGTAATATTCACATTTTGTGTTCACTCTTTGAAAATGGAAAATCAAAGTTTCACCAGCTTTAAGGTAAATCAAGTCGAATTTAAAGATCATACAAACTGTTCACATTGGTTTCGTAACCATCACAAGAAAAATATTGAAATATATCCAACACAATGACAATAAACTTATTTTTTTCCTCTCCAAATCACTATGATAGTTTATAAAGAAAACATCAACACACACTGTCGTTCTATCTACAGTCGTTCCACTGGCCTTCGTCCCCGGTACAGAAAGGTAGGGAAAACTTCTTTGTATAAAAAATGATGTGCAAAAAGTTGTTTTCTTAGGTCCCTCTCATGGAAAACAATGTAAAGAAATAATGTAAATATCTACATAACCTTTGCTCTTGCCATTTTAGATTCTAGGATTACTGTGCACTTGCGGCCACTCGTCACGTTTGTGCATCTGTTTGATTTAAAACGAGTTACTGCATTCGATGGACACCTGACAAGGGAGCGCACTGTCATTGTCATATTAAAAACTAGCTTGAGGTATTATTGCACTTTTTCCCGAACTGCAGACCTGGAATCAGAAGATTTCAGATTTACTCACAATGTACCTGCTTTTAGTGGAATGTCAACACTGACTTGAGCTCAAAGTACAGCCGCTGCAGCAGTCTGGACAAGGTAAAGTTGACTCGAGGTGCATCCTCTTTTCTTTGAAATTGTCTCCACACAGTCAATGCATCACTGTAGTTTTCAGTAAACATGCATAAGCTGTTACCTGGGTAGGTAGATCTGTAAACATCCTGCCAACAGCAAAGACACCAGCAGGAACAGAGAACAATGTGCCATGAAGGGCAACAAATCGTATGCTGTATTCACGCCGTGTCAGCAGAACAGTAAGAATGGGGGGGTGGGGGGGGGGGGCTCCCTTTAATAGGACTTCACACATTATGGTGCTTTCTTTCTGTTTTATGATTTTTCTAGCCTACATCTCAGATAAATGGATAAATGGACATCAAGTCTAGATTAGCTTTTTTTAAAATCATTTTACCTATTTTTAGCTAATATGAAAATACATTTTTAATGTATAGCTACTTTCTAATTATCTGAATTAATTGTGTCTTAGTAGTGCATTTTATTTAGATGTAACTCTCATTGGTGGGGACTTTGCAACCATTTCGCCACTGTTTTTATTGATAAATCTGAAATTCCTGATACCTCCTACTCTAAATCACAAGTGCAGTCTGAATTATACGACGTGAATGCAGGATAAACACCAACTGAATCACAACATTTTCTAGATTAAAGCTGCAGTCAAAATGCTCGGCAAACGTCCGTGGCACATTGTTCCCCGTCCCTGATCAACACGGTTTCACTAGTGTTCAACAACCAAATAAATGAGGTTGCGTTTTTTTTTATCATTTCAGTTACAAAAGCTCCCACCGATTGATATTTTAATTGTAAACAGAGTTTCTATAAAAACCATTCAGGATTTGGTATCAAATCTCAGGTGTCATTGTCTGCGTTGCTACAGTTGATGTGTTCTGTGGCCCTGATGGAAAAGTAGTGGTATGTGATCTATCGTTAGTGCACAGCCAGGTACATCACGCAGAACAGTATTGCTCCCCGAAATCTCATGGTCTGTTTGAGGATTTGAGTCTCAACCAACATTTTTTTGTAATTTTCGTCAAAGATTCCGTGAAATACATGTAGCATAAGATGTAGCATGAAACACATGATGCAAACATACGCGCACGTCTGACCTTGTTCCGTTGTTTTGTCTTTACAAGCGTCATGCACTGACACACACATTGTGTCTGGAGTGCTGTACAGTGATGACACAGCCACACATAAAGCTATCAGTTGAGGTGATGTACAGCGATGACAGTGAGGTTCCCTCTCTCGCGCACATTCATTAAAGGAACAGTCCGACATTTCTGTAAATCTTCTTGTACACCGTCTTTCCCAGAGTGATATGAGAGGATGGATATCAGTTTGATTTTAGTGCTTCTAGTACGGAGATGAAGAGGACGATCTCGTATTTGTCCACAACTTTTGTTTTGGCGATTCATTTAATACTTTCCAATTAATCAATTCATTGTTGCAGCTCTAAATCAGTTAGCTTTAGAGTTCTTGTAAATTGTTTTGTTTTTTACTTTTTTGATTAAGCTAGGCTAGCAGTTTCCCCACGCTTCCAGTCTTTGTGCTTAGCTATGCTTAACACGTTCTGGACTTTTCTCTGTACTGGACACACAAGGATGAAACTGATATCCATTTTCTCATCTCACTTTGGAGAAGACAGAACACAAGGACTTACTAAAATGTCGTTTTGTTAGCGTAACATCACACACACACTCACACAGAGTTACAGTTAGATGTGGTGCCCATGCAGTTATACGGTGGTGACCGTCAGCAGGGAGCTGGTACACAGCATGCCGTCATGGTTATTCAGCCTGGTCCCATGAGTCAGCAGCTCCTCGACTGTCGTCCAGTCATCCAACAGCTTCCTGTTCCTCAGACGACTCAGCTTCCTCTGACTCAGCTCCAGGACCGTGTGGCACCTCCCTTCTGCAAAAGCTCCGCCCCCTCTGCTGTCCAGCACACTTCCGTCTCCAACAGAGGCTCCTCCACCCCCAGCGATAGCTCCGCCCCTGAAGATGACGTCGCGGATAGTTCCTCCTCTGGCCTGCATCTGCTGCTGCCTCTGCTCACGGGCCAACAGGAAGTGTTCCCTTCTCTCCATTCGACTCCAGTATCGACCCATCAGCATGTCGGTATTGGTCTCCTCATCTGTGCTCATCCCACTGCGTTCATCCGCCAACTGGGACGCCCGGTCTCTCAGGAGCTGGTTTCTGGAGATCCGCGAGGTTGCGTTGGGTTTGGAGCTCGGATTAAGTTTTGGCTGCAAACCACAACTGGGATTAGGGCTTGAACATGCGTTCATGTGTCCTATCTTTGCATCCCATCCAGCAGCACAGCCGGCCCCTATGTGGCCCTCCAGGGTGCTGTAGAGACCTCCTCTGCCTCCCCCACCACCCTGGGACTGACGGTTGGCCGGTTTCGGCCAGGTGTCGTTGACATCCCCAGCCTGAGGAGGGTGGACCAAAACCTGGAGGTGCTGCTGTTCTCTTGCTCGGCACCTCCCCAGCTCCTGCTGCCTCTCTCTTTCCATCTCCTCTTGAATCTGCGCCTCCCTCTCCCTCTCCAGCTCTTTCTCTTGCATTTGCCTCTTTTGTTCCAGTTCCCTCTCGATCTCTCTGTCCCTTTCTGTCACCAGTTGCTCCGGCATCAAGTTTCTTTCTTGCGAGTGCCACCAGTCGTGGTGAGCGATCTGGGCATTATGATTGTTGTCGTAGCAGCGTTCGTGGGTGTTGGTGCCCCTGATATGCCCCACAGAAGTGGGGTGTTGTTGTGGTGAGAGGGACAGGCCTGCTGGGTGAGAAGCCAACACACCAGCCACCAGCTCACCTTCCTCTGGCAGGCCTGGTGGCAGGACGTTATGTGGCGGGACACCTCCGCAGTGGTGCAGGGTTGCTGCGCAGTAGGAGGGAGAAGCTGGGTGGCTGGCTCGACGGCGGTACTCTTGTGGAGGAGGGCGATGGTGCAGAGTTCGGCTTCTCCTCAGCATCCCCACTGAACTGGAGCTCTGGTGGTGCTGCTGCATGGGTACTAGTGATCTCCGGTTGCTGGATGGGGTGCTGCAGGTGGAGAGGACCGGGGCAGTCATTCGTGAGACTCCAGCATGAGCGTGGGAGGGGTTGAAGAGGGCTCCACTGCTGGAGCTGTGACGGTCCAGACAGGGCCGGTCAGCTTTATGGAACTGGACCGATGAAACCCTGGAAATACAAACAGAAAGTGAGGTCAACAAACAAACAGCAGACAGAACTTGAAACCACCAACTTAGATGTTGTTGCTATGTAATTCGATCTTCTTACACCTAGTCTGCCCTTTTGCAGGGGCAGTCATTCTATCAGCTTCTACCTGAAAAGTCCGCGGGGTGGGATATCCATCATGGGCCCAGCACCGTCATCCATCTCGAGCTGTAGGTGTGGACACTGAGACTGCATGGTCAGCACCTCAGGGATGGCCTCCAGAAGCTCGCGGTGGCTCTTGGGGCAGCTGTCACGCCGCTCCCGCCTCTCGCAGGGTTCGCCCTGATGTTGCAGCCGGGCGTTGTACATCCGCATTCGCTTCTCCAGTAGCCTCTGGAAGTGCCTGAACTCCCCGGTGCTCACGCTGTAGAAGCCCGAGTCGCTGAGCTCTGAGGAAATAAAGGACTCAGAAGAAGGAGAGCCGCCTCCTCCGAAGCCTCCACAACCCCCTGGGGCGAGGCCCCCGTGTGGATGACAGTCCTCCAGGCCTCCCTCCTCGGTCTCCAGCCCCGAGAGGTCGCCCTGGTGGAGGGAACCATCAGTCCAGCCGAGACCGCTGTCAAGCTCATGGTGCAGCGGCAGGAAGCCCAGCGGCTTCTCCAGCATGAAGTCCTCGTCGTCCGTCTGCAACAACAAGCATCCTCAGTCCCGTGATCATTTACACAAATACACACACCAAAACACTATAAATAACTACATCTTTTATATTTTATCTGTGCGGGACTGCGGTACCTTCTGAGTGATGACTAAATGTGTTTGTTGCAGTGAGAAACTGTCAAATACAGAAGGTTAGTAGTGAATTCTTGGTCAGAATCTTAGTCTTCGTCTCTTTTATCAGATATTTCCATACTTGAATACAAATTTTGTTTTTTTATGATTTTTATCTAGGCAAAGTGCTTGTATGTTGGACAACATTGAACTGATATATTTAAGTAAGTTTGGCTTGTTTAGTTAAAGAATAAGGGTGCCCATATTCTGTATTACTCTTTTCAACAAGTCTTATGAAAAGACCAAAACCAAAAATGTGTCAGTCCACCTCTCAATATTTTGTGACTTCCCTACTCTGTCTGCAACAGTCAGACCCAGACATGTACCAGACATGTAAATAATTAACAGCTGACATATCATCAGATTTATAACAGAAGACAAATTTAAGGTTTTTGCAGAAAACAGATAAATATTCTCTCACGTCCAACCCTTATTCCTACTCTCTGGTTGTGACACAATGGCATAAGAATGAACAGATTGCACTACCACACCCTCTGCACACTAAGCATGGTGCACTTGAGTCTTGAATCAAAAGATATTGTTTGTGATATTTATAGAACGATAAGAACACATTGCAATCACTCTCAATTTCTGTTATTTCTACTCAAAACGAAAAAGGTAATTATTTTGGTATCAGTACTGAAACTCTTATTGACTCTGACACAGTTATTGCAAAATGAAGACATGCAGCTGTAAGATACACAACACAGTGTTGGTTACCTGACTGTGGAACCCGTTAGGTTCCTCCAGGTTTGCATTACAACATCCCATCAGGCAGTTCTGTCCCTTTGGTCCACGACCAGTCAGTTCTGGATCCTGAAGGATTTATGATGTGAAACAATGACAAAGCATTTTATATGTTAATGGCTTGTTCATTTATTACTAATTGCAGGAATCCTTTGTCAAATCCGGACTAAGCTGCCAATGTAAAGAATTTGAAATCGATCATTGCTGAGGCCAGATATGATAAGATATCCAATAGATATTTTAAGATTGTTGCATTTACATTGTAACATTTTCAATGTGAGTGTGTTAGTGTGTCAGTGTCACCTGGTGGCCGATGTCCACAGTGTCCCGTGGGGAGCTGGACAGGTAGCTGTACCGTCCTGCTTCACAGTGATCTTGTGGCAGAGACAGATGGCTGTAATAATGTCTGAAACAGACGACAAGAACACAGAATTAGGACGTCTTCAAGACAAAGAAAACATTTTTTAAATCATCTGCAGAGCTAAAAAACCCTAATGTACTCCATTTGTCAATCATTCATATTGATCATGATAACTTGTCTTTCTCTGTGTGTGTATGTGTGTGTGTTTACCTGTCCTGGTAGGAGGGGCTGGAGGCGTTGAGCCCCGCCATCAGTGGGAGGGGCAGGTTGAGATGCTGCAGATTGAGGGGAAGCGGCTCCCAGATTCCCCTGTCTGCCTCGGTGCCACACCCCCTCTGACCCTTGATCTGCATGGTGATTGGACGCTGACTGGCCGCCAGGATTCGCAGAGCATCCCGCTGGCTCAGGTTGGTAAGACTCCGCCCACTCACCTGAGACAAGCAGAGAGAGGAAGAGAAGGGATGTGATGTTCGCAAACTCCTGCTTATTCCGACAGCCACAGAGCGAGATGATCATCCTGTTGGAGTTATGTTTGTGTCCACCTGATGAATGTAAGTTCACGCTCACGTAGTTAGCACTGGTTTGGAGAAAAACATCTGGTTCTTTAGCTTTTCGACAGTTCACCGTGTTCACCAGATAGAAGCTGACTTTTTCTGTCTGGCGTTTGGCGTAAAACAGATGTCATAAAAACAAAACTAGAAGCTTAATGAAGAAGCTAAAAAAGCTCCTTACAGCGGCAGAGTTTCCGAGTATTCTCTGTAGATTGACAAATACCAGACACAATATAGCATCACACATCACTCAGTCAAGTCAATGTTTGTATGAAAATAATGATCCGCTGCATCATTCTATCTTCTGATCATGTCAAAGCATCTGATTATAATGAGGAAACTGGATTTGAGAAAAAATGTCAATCTCAAACAGGAAAATCTATTTTGAAACTATCAGTTTCAAAGAACTGGGTGTCAGCATGTGCATCCTGCAGCCTTTAGCATCATTAGCACTGGTGTTAGCTAGACTTAGTCAATATAAGATATATACAGTCATTCTTTGGCAATTGTTGATGATGTTTTAAATCAATGAGCAGGACAGATTTATGTCAATATTGACGTTTTATATGATTTATGATCAGTTTAATTCATTGAAAAAGGTGATGCTGTTTTGCCTTCATAATTCTACGTGAAGTTTGCTGGACGTGATGTAATGTCGCCACACTGTTAGATGTTGGCTGAGCACTGCACTGAAAAAATAACGTATTATATGTTACATTGCTTGTCAGCAACTGGTCATATGGTAACTTAAGAGGCAATTTGACTTTGAGTGCTCTCATTAATTTGGCATGCAGACACCAGGCTTAATTTCTTTTTAATAAAAATTCAACTCCTTACATTTGCTCCTGGTGCTCTTCACCACTGTTTTGGAAGAAGGAAATAACACAAGTAACTGGCGAACCAGTTTTAAAAGTAACATTTTGACATTTTGAAAAGTAACTAATTTAAAGAAGCTTTAAACAAACTAGTATTAAATTTGAGAACTTGAGAATTAGTTTTTTGAATTTGGATGGAAAAATAATTGTGATTGGATCGTGTTCCCGGCTTGTGACATGACATTTTGCCATATCGTACTCCAACTCCTCTACACGGTTAGCAGAACAACTGTTCCTCCTCAGCCTGTAAAAGCACAATGCCTTCTTTGGTTCTGGAGGATAACCCTGATGATGTCATAGTGATGTCATCGGAGTTACCTCCGCTTGGGCTTGAAGGCCACAAATGTATAACAGAAAACCTGCATTAGAATTTGAGCAGTGGAGTTTTAAAGATGTGGCTGTTTCAAATTTAAGTCTGCACGCTACCATTTTTACTGCACTTCTAGTCTTTCTTTTTACAGTGTGCACAACACACCATGAACTGAAAACTCTGAATTAGCTGAAATTATGCAACTGGGTCACAAGACACAGCTCTGTCTGCACACAGATGGTGGATTCAGTCCAATATGACAAACAGTCGATTAAAATCAAATATGACGAGTGTGAACATGGTGTGCATGTTCCCATTAAAGGGTTAACATCTACGAGCCAGTATGAGCCTCATCCTCCCTGGCTCACACACACACACACACACACACACACACACACACACACACACACATCTCAGCAGCCATCGAATTAGATGCATGAACAGTATTTTTAACTCCAGCAAACCACAACCATGAGTCACCCTCAGCTACATTCAACCAGGCGCACACACGTACAAACACACACACACACACGCACACACACATAGCATGAGCTGAGGAGCACAAAATGGCACCTGTGTGTGGATACAGAGGACGGCAGCAGAACGACGGAGAGCCTTCAGCAGGTGGAGATGACAAATATGACAACATAAAAATTCTACATATTCACAAAAGAATTAGACATGAACTGTCTTATGAAACACACATAAATTAGGTTAATTATCCACACACACAAATGCAGAGTGCAGCAGAATTCATGAAATGATGCCATTTTGCATCTGCATCTACACACACACACACTCACACACACACACACACACACACACACACACACACACACACACACAAACCTCAAAGGGCCTCACAGAGCTCGGTTCCATCTTCTTCCAATGAGACGTCATGAAACACACAGCATCATTTATAACATGGAGGCAGGTCTTTGGATGCTCACCGTTTGGTCACCCATCCACGGTCCAGAGAGCCAGCAGCCCATCGTCACGGCAACAGAGGAAAGCTGCCTTGGTTCCTATGAAAATCGACGATGCTGCTGCTTCCTCCAGCAGATCGTCTCCTCCTCCTCCTCCTCCTCACTCTCTCTGTCTATCTCTCCTCAGCGTGCCGTTCACTATCACTCTCTCCTCAGCATCTGTCCTCTCCTCACTATCCTCCTCCTCTCTTCTTCTTCTCTTCTATGTATCCGTCTTTCTTTCTTTTTTCATCTATTTCTTCAGCACCTCTATCCTCGCCCCTCCCCCTCCTTCACAGCTCCCGGTTTTAGCATCCTGCACACAGACACACACACACACACGCATGCATGCATGCAGCTCTGCAAACATAAAAATATGCGCAGGCTGAAACAGTGTGTTCAGAGACGGAGAGGGAAACACACGCAGTCACACAGCGAGGAAGGTGTCTGATTGGTGGCCTGTTAAGGGTCATCAGCCAATCAGATGCAGCGGTCTCCCTCCGGGTGTCTTCCTCTCTGACTGAAATGCCTCATGAAGCCTCGACATGTACAGGAGGGAGCCTGTACCGCAGCGATACACACAGTAACAGAGGAAACACACCATCCAACCATCCATCTTCTAGCTGTTCATCCAGGATTCTCCAGCAGATGCTGCTCAAGGTGTGTTGGGATATGTAGTCCCTCATGTGTACTAGAGGTGCTCTGCTTCAGATTGGGTCACTAATTGTGGAGAATTTCAGTATGCACAAATTGATTAACAAATAAAGAGAGGGACACAAACGAGAAGGGACCAGAGGACAGCTAGACCCCGTGTGGACCAAGACACTGTACCTGAGTTGAGGTACTGCACTGAAACAAAAGCAACCTATTAGACTAATCAAACAAACGAATAAAACATGATGACGTTTTCTGAGTTTCTTTCTCTTTATCTCGAAAAAAAAAGACTTGAACCTTCAGGGCCTTGAACTCAGCGAGTGCAGTGATGGAGCATCTGTTGGTTTGTAGGAATTATAGCAGCTGTTAATGAATGAGGCCAAAGCACTTAAAACACATCACTGATTTCATAGGTTGAGTCCCATGAGCAATAAATGTCTAATAATACTAACCAGTTCAATGTAACCTATAATGTGTATTATATATTATTGTGCAATATGCTAGAATGTCCAGAGCCTATATCTCAACCTTTTTCTCATTCAGGAAAGACGTATGCACCATGATGGTGTGTGATGCAGGCCGCTCATGCATCTTCCCTTCATGGTCGACATTCACGTGACGCATGTAAATATTTAAAACCTTAATGCATGGTTCTCATTTTAATAAGAACATCTCAACAAATGAACACCACTTTTATGATTTTTGAAGCGTGAATTCAGTCGAAGTAAAAAGCCATCGTTAGGCTATAAGCGAATACGCACAATGAGACCGAGAAGGCGGACTCGTCGGTTTGATGACGTTTTGTTGTCTCATTTTTTTGCCACTTGTTAGCAACCGCCTTTTTTAAGATACAACCTTCAAAATGTATAGGGTTTCTTCTGACGTATTTCAATATTGTAGAACAAAATATTAACGCTTGTGTTAACTGCAGACCTTATTTGAGGCATCTAACCAAAAACCTATTCTAAAAAACCCATAGACTTCGAGATGAGGGAACCATATAGTGCAAAGATTTTCTCATCTCCGAGGTTTAGGACTCATTCCTGCAGCACTCTGTTCTAGGGAGTTTAGACTCTCGACTTAAACTTGATGATTTTGAACTTCGTGACTCCCAATTGAGAGGTTTATATCCATCTGTGAATTTCACATCACAAGGGACATTGTGTCTATCTTTATTTGAACACAGCTCTCTCTCTGATCGCCCCATGAGAGGACACCGCATGAGAGGACAGTCAGAAAAGTCTCAAATCCACAATGGACAGAATCAGAAATATATGAGAGTTACAGCCGCTCCTCTGCTCTGCAGTAACACACACACACACACACACACACATACAACTGTGTGTAGGCTTCATTTCATCTGATTCACTCAATGATCCTGCTTTGACTGTTTGGTTGTTATGGCAACCGACTCGCCTGCCAAATATATATACGTGTGTGTGTCTCTGTGTGTGTGTGTGTGTCACTTTGCTTATCGAATGAATTATATTTTGAAGACATGAAGAGCTGAATTTGTGCAGTGGAGACCTGCGTGATACCGGTGATGCTGCAGATGTTCGTGATGATCGTGTGTGTGTGTCTTGCTAAAGATGATGATGGGTGCATCTGGATGCCTGTCGCTGAGCTTTGCCATTTCTGTACTGAAGTACGGAGGCGGAAAGAGAGAGAGAGAGAGAGAGAGAGAGAGAGAGAGAGAGAGAGAGAGAGAGAGCATGTGTCAGTGTTACACACTCACACTGTAGAGCCTCAGCTGCGACACACAGACCTGTCTGTGTCTAAAAATGGAAAAGCACACTTGCTGTTGCTGTGAAGCCACAAGAAGCTTCTATATGTGGATAGTATGCATACAATGATTCATGAGAACATCCATCAGCCTTTAGAATAACGTGTGGATAAAAACTGTGGACGCTTAACAGATTACCAACATGGCGGACGTTATGAGGGAAAAATTAATTCACAAAATCCAACCATTGATTGGTGCATTGTGGCCATATTACATGACAATGTTGCTATGGAGCAAAAACCCAAAGTGGGCTAGAAATAAGATGGTTATAGGAGTTTTGTCATCAGCGTAAGATTGCCAGGCAACCAACTGAGACCCCAATAAGGTACTGCACCACATAACCTCTTGTAAAACCACTAAACATATAATGTGTAGTGGGCTTTAGAGATGTTACCAGGTGGGTTTGGCTTGGCTCTGTACATTGCACATATTCTCTACTTCATACTGTAAACTTTTGCACAATCCTTGGTCAATATTTGTGCACATCCCTGCAGAAAACTGCACGGCTCTTTCATTATAAAACGGATATATTATGCATATTTTAAAATAATTTTTTCAATTGTATTTATTTTTCTTGACAGCTGTGCTTGCTTTTTATCTTTTATTTCCTCTTACTATGTTTATTGTTTTTCACCAAAATACCAAGTCGAAATCTTGGCAATAAACTGATGTAAAAATAAATGTGTACACATATGTATATATATATATATATTTATATTTATATACATATACATATGTATACATTTATTGATATATCAGTTTATGATATATATATACTTATATATGTATATTATATAAATATATGTGTCTGTAAATATATAAATGTAAATATATGTACTGTATATATACGTATACATACACATCCTTTTTCTTATGCGCGTTTAGTACAGTTTGTCTCGAACAGGGACCTGTACAGCAACCAGGCCAGCGCGTGTTGCCTTTCTGCCTATGATTGGTCAGACTGTCAGAGCAGTGCTGTGATTGGTCAGATTGTCAGTGGCACCGGAGCGGGCGGAACTTTCAGTCCGAACTTCATACTATTGTTTAGCAGCTGGCCCACTATTTAACATTTGTCACCGTTTAATTTAGCACTAAGGAACACCTCTAACGTCTTAACCTCTAAAGTGTTAACCGACATTTATATAGTGTTGTGACGTGGTTAGCTGTATTAGCTTAGCAGGCCAACTTCTAATTGGAGCTACAGCTAAGTTGTCTTTTTAGCTAACGGCTAACAGGAGCGAGACTAGGAGACAAGGAGACAAGGTAACACAGATATCCCACAGAAATACCAAATCATTCCTGCAAGGCAGTAGCCACTGGTTTCACTTAATTTCTATTAAATCAGCTGAGCAGAGCATTGAAACTTGCTGAAGAATGGTCTTAAAGTGTATACTTATGAGTCAACCATGTGTAAGCTTTGATGAAAGTAGCAAAAAATGAACGTATGAAAGAGTAACTATCTGTGGAGGTGCCATAGTATGTTTGTATGTGAATCAAATAACGTAACGTGTTTAATTAACAACTTAAAACTGGACTGACAGTGATTCAGTTATGGTTGTACTTTTTGGTTTAGGAGCTACAACACATTTGAATCACTCTGCGAACTGTTAGCCAACTAGAACTGATTTCCTTGTTTGCAGCTAGTTTACTTGTCTCTTTCCTCTTCCTCCCTCACAGCATGAACTGCCCCCCCACCAAGCGCCTTCGAGGCTCGAACCAGGATGTAGTGACGGCGGTGGCCTTCAATGACCCGTTTGGAGATGAAGACGAGTTCACCCAGGACGACTTGGATGAGATGGACATCATTGCGTCGCAGGCCGTCGCCGCGGTTGCTGCACCTGCACCTGGGCTTGAGATTAAACCGGGACCCAAACCGATGGAGCTGGCCCGCGGGTCCAACTGGCCGGCAGGGCAGAACAAATCTGTGAGCAGAGCCACAACCAATCAGAGTAGCGAGAACACATTTGGGTTCAGCAGCAACAGAGGGAATGCTGAGATACCAAGCAGAGAGCCTCTCGGTGAGTTCAGAGCAGAACGGATCGCTGAGAGTTTAACTGCATTATCATTTGTCCTTTAAATCCCTGCTGATTGTTATCCAAATAATTCCGTCCAGGTGCTGAGTCCAAAAGAATTAAACTGTGAAATCCATCTAATCTGGGTTTCTTCCTCTGGAGCAAATAACTGCGTTGTGTCCTATTTAAATAACAGTTTGTGTATATTTCTGCATGTTTGTGCTGAGCGTGTTGACAAAGCTCTGCTGTTTTGTGTGTTCAGGTAACCACCAGCAGCGGTTTGGGTCGGACAGAGAAGACTCACACAGTCTGCTGGAGGCTCAGCATGCAGAGCTGAAGAGGAAGGTGAGACTCACTGGTTTCTCGCTTTATAAAACTTTTATTAAAACATCCAACAGGCACAAGATCAGGGCAGTGAACAAAACAACATCACCAGAGAAGAGAACAAGGCATTAGATATTGCATTTGCACGCAAGATTATAGCATTTCTTAGTTTTCTGTTACTTGATATTTTTGTTGAGCGGGACTGTTGCTGTGAAGCAGTTGCAGCACAAAGCGAGAAAGGGAGACTCTATAAATATGTTCTGGTGAATGTGCACATTGATAGCTGAAGGAGGTGGAGGAGGATATCGTGTTGAAGAGCGGGGAGATCCGGGTCCTGAGGGACTCTCTGAAAGGAGCTCAACAGGAGAAGGAGAGCCAGAGGCAGAACCAGATCCTGTTGGAGACCCAGAGACAGAGAGAGCAGAGCGACAGGGAGAAGGAGCTCAGCAAGAAGGTGAGGAGCTGACACACACACGCACGCACGCACACACACACGTACACGTACACGTACAGTACATATACTTCTCAGAATAACACGATAATGACATGTTCTCCATGTTCAGGTTCAGTCTTTGCAGTCAGAGCTGCAGTTTAAAGAAGCAGAGGTCATCGAGATGAAGACCAAACTTCACAGTTCAGACAAAATCAAGACGGCTTCTCCACTGCCTAGAAACAGGTCGGTCGTCAATTTTACTAACAGATTTGATTAAATATTTTTCTCCATTTTTACATCATTGTGAACTAAATGTCTTTGGGTTTGGGTATTTTGGGGTTGAACAAAACAACATTTAAAGTTCAGTAAACTCTTAGTTTACTGAACAGTTCAGTTCAGAGTTCAGTTCCCCGAGTTCAGTTCCCCGAGTCAGATTGTCATCCGCTCATCTCTGATCTGATTGGCTGCTCTGTCTTTCTGTCTCCTCTCAGTCCTAAAGTGCTTAGCTGTCTTGCCCAGATGCATCATGGGAGTGGCAGCAGCACGTCCTCTCCAACAGGAAATGGCTTCATCACCAAGGAGACGTTTGGAGCCCACGTCCCATCCACAATGACGCCGGTGAAGACACGGAGAGGCGGTGGGTCACATGACGAGGGTGATGGCGGTCGTGGTGGTGAAACAGGCGTGTTGAGGACCAAAGTTTTGATTGACTCCTTTGTTTTTTTTGTTTGTGTGTTGCAGCAGACAGAGGGGGGTTCAGCAGCAGATCTGGGGACAGACAGGAAGTGTCTCACCCAGACCCCTTCCTGTCCGTCAGACCTGCACACCTGCAGCACCGAGGTCAGTCTGCAGGGCTGCTTCATAAGACTTCATGCAAATAAATAACCTGCAACATGGTTAAATTAAAATATCTTCCTGACAGAACTCATACTTTAACAACACACATTTAAAATAATGTATTTGATTTATTTATTATTTAGTTACATTACAAGTGTACAGGACTCAAATGTTAGCAAATATTAAATACATGATGAGTAAAGAAACTGTTCCTGCTCCACAGAGAAGCTCACCTGTGAGTTTTTATTTTATTTGAAAAACATTTTCCAGACATAAAGGTTGATAGTTAGAGGTTTTGTGAAGTCCTAAACAACACTAATGATGTCTTAGTGGTGTCATCAGGGTCTTGAGTTGGGTTTGAGACTTGAAGTTTAAAAGAAAAGGGCATTTGCCAGACAGGAAGGGTCTAATGAAAGACAGTATCCAGCTGCATTATGGGAAATGTAGGATCTAGTTTTTGGTGCTTGACCCATACTAGGGATTGAAAGTTTAGATATCTCGGTGTCTGCTGACAAGGATTTTGTCCGTTATTTTGTAATTGGTCTCAGAAGTCCAACAACTTTATGGAAGGTGTGTGTGCGTGCGTGTGTGTGTGTGTGTGTTCCGTGTTGTCATCCAGGTGGCGTCCTGCTGGGGTTGCTGCTACAGCAGCCTTTGTCTCCCAGCAGCCTCTGCCTGTCTCACCTGCTGTCCATGAGTCTGACTGACGTCCACCTGACATCCAGGTAAACACCCGGCGCTCTATGACAACATGGTGGTTATGGCGAGTAATATGTGTGCGTATAATACAGTGCTGTAGTAGTTTGAGTGAAGGTGTTTGCAGATGTAACTTAGTAGAAATCGATATTAGTTAAATAAGTGCCCTCGAGCAAGGCATGTAACCCCCAGCTGCCTCAGCAAAGCATCAAAGGGACCAACAGATCGTACTAAAGAGGATTCACGCTCATTGAAGTCACTCTGGTTCAATCAAGTCAGAGAGAAAACGCATCATGCTGTGTGTAAATCAGGGTCCTTGAGTTTGTTTCTAAAGCCAACACACCAGACATCCTTTGGAAGTCTTACACTCAAGACCTTAAATCAAATGTCATTGTGTTACGATCAACACCTCCAGTATCTTTTGAAGCGTTGCGTTAAAGTCCCTTAATGCATCTCGGTCAACACATGAGGTCCCCAAATCCACCAAAACTCAAATCTTTAGATAAAACTGTCCTTGATTTCTTTGGATAATGGATGGACCTGAGTAACACATTGCAGCCCAAGCACAAAGGAGCTGAACTGTTATACAAGATTAATATAACTAATGCGTTGTGTTAAATTTCATGATTTCAGCGAGTCTGCAGGTTTTCTGCTCCACTCTGACGCTGCTGTCGCTGTCAGTGGGGGTGAAGGTGGAGCTCCCAGAGCTGCTCTGAGTCCTCTCCAGAGTCTGGCTGTAACTGGACTCAACACGCTGAGTCAGAACCGACCAGCAGCTGCAGACGGCAGAAACAAAAGGTAGACTGAGACACGGAATCACTGAATAATCCAGAACAGAACACAGTGAAGGCTGAAACGGTTCTATGGACAGCAGAGCCCTCTTGTGGCCAAATTATGTAACTGCTGCACTGAAAAAGACCACATGGCAAAACACCTCGAGGCCATGTGTTAATAATATAGATACAAACTATCAAGACTGTACACCTTTGACTATTATTGTTTCACTGTATTTAAGATACCATGTGTTTGTAGGTCGTGTCCCGGAGCCGTCCTCTTCCTCCCGCTGTTGGAGCTTCACCTGTCTCGACTCTGTCAGGCTCTGGACTCCCTCCGCTCCGTCTCCGCTGGCAGCTCACTCCCAGCAGGCAGTGCTGCTGGACTGGGGAGACTGGATGAGGCTGTTTTGACTGGTTTCAGCGTGGAGGACACTGGTTTGGCTGCTCTGAGGCTCCTCTACCTGTTGGTGGCCCACAGTGACGAGGTGACGGCAGTGACGATGCAGACATAAATCTTACAAACCAGATGGCACATCTCAAGGTTTCATCCTGACCTAAAGACTTTTAAATCAGTGAGATATCACATCTACTCCATTACGTACGACACTGTGCATTTCCATCACTGTTGCATTAAGGCTTGATTAAGTCTATCAAGCTGAAAACACCACAAAGTTAAGAAACGATTATAACGTGGGGCGCTTTTCCTCTCTGAGTTGTATTTCTTTTAACTCGAGGCAGTCAAGGCTCTCCTGACAACGTGAGCCGCATAGAGCGTGTTTTGTGTGCAACAAGCTCCACACAAAACACTTCACTCTCATTGAAAACAAGTGACACAAAGTCGCCCCAGGCTGTGAAAACGCTCTCTGCCTGAGCACGGCCTTAGTGAGTCTTTCTTTGTTGAGGTTTTAATTTGACAGTTGACATCACTTCTTTGTTTCCTCTCCCAGGTGGTGGAAGCTGTGTTGTCAAAGGAGAATCAGAGCAGAGTTACAGACATAAAGGTACAAAAAGAAACACTCTGATGGACACTTTAGACTTTCCGGTCTTGTATATTTCTTTATTAACTTTACCTCCATCCAGTCTTTGTGATATGAAACTACATATTGTTTGTCCAGGAGGTTTAAGATAAACATAGATTTGTCACTGTAAATTCCCCTCAGATAATTTAATGAAATCCCCCCCCCCCCCTTCTCTCTGCTCTTAGACTGAACACTCTGCTGCAGGTGTGGGTCTGTGCTCCCAGAATGCCTTGCTGCAGTCAGTGTTGCGGCTGTGTGAAGCGGGGCTTAGCGGTGGCGTTGGTGTTGGTTCTCAGAATGAGGAACTCGTCCTCGATGCCATGAAGACTCTGTGTGTCCTCATCGAGAGGACGCCACACACGCATGCCGGCAGGTAGACGCGATTTGCTCACATGTACTACAGACCGTACATGTGAGGCCTCTTCTAATACCACTGTCCACAAGTCAGCGACCCGTACCTGTCATGATACTGGAAAATATTAAACTGATACCGTCATGTGATGCAGAGAAAGATGTTTCCTGACTTTACTTCAGTCCGAGCTCTCTTCTGGTAATGATGTACTTTAACTTTAATTCAGTACGCAGCGTGATAGAGGTGCAGTATGTGGTACGTTAGTGTGAGACTTTAAAGACAACGTGACGGACCGTTTAAAAGACGTCAGCTGATGATAAATTAAGTTGCCACATTTTTAACTGGTGACACTGATAACACCCACACACGTATGATGCAACACTCACCTGAGAGGAATAATACTGGAGGTAGAGGAGTGGCTGAGCAGGGAGTGTGTGTGGTTTTAAAACTTTTCCATCGACTCACTTACGTTACAGTTGTTTTTAAACTACCTGCAGTGATTAACAGTCACCAGGGTGACGTAACAGAGAATATAAATAACTGCTGAAATATGAAACGGTAAAGGAACAAAAAGAACCCACTCTTGCATTTTTTTACTGCAGAAATAACTAAAATTATGAAAACAAGTGATTTATTAGTTCACTCTGGTGACACCGTCTGTGTTTCTCTCTCAGGTTGCAGTGTGTGTTGCAGGTGGTGTGTGTGTGTTTGACAGCAGAATGCCGGTGGCAGACAGTTTCGGGGAGTGTGTCCGTGCTGGCGTCCATGTCCGACCACCAGACGCTGGCTCAGCAGCTCTGCTCTCAGCACGGTGAGTTATCTGAAAGTCAGTGTCATAACCTCTCTGTGATGTTTTTTCTTCTTTATTTTGCTTTACATTATCCCTCCATTGTTTAGGTTTCAGCTGCGCATGATTTGAAAGAACCTCGCTGCAGCAGTGTTTTATTTTGTTGTTGTTTCCTTTAGACCCGTGTATTTTCCTCAAGTTGTTCCAGTTCATCAGAACCAGACCAGACAACCAGGCAACACACACAGACTGGATTCTGCTGGACCTGCAGGTAAAACACACACACACACACACCACACACACACTGCAGAGACATACATACTCCTTCACCCTACATGGTTAGGGATCCAACGAGCACTTAATATGAAGAACTGTGACGTCCCTCCCACTGCGTGCAGCGGGCAACCTCAGCAGAGAACGTCATTGTCTTTGTGTCTCAGGTGGTTCGTTTGCTGAGCAGACTGATGACTCAGCGAGCAGAGAGCTGGACCAGCAGCCAGCACAGCAGCTGTCAGTGTTACACTGAGGTAAAACTTCATGTAGTGACACTAAACTTTGTGTTGCACCTTTCTGCACAAGCCTCTCATCTCATCTCACCTCATCCTCTCTCAGCTGGTTCAGACAGTGGTGATTGTTTTCCATCGTCAGTGGTTGGATCTTCGTGGTTCTCAGGATCCGACGGACTCAACAGGTCAGATTTAAAACACAAGGCTGCAGGTGTTCACCGTGAAACTGTTCATTACACCCAACAAACTGTCTCTAAAATCATGGATTACCAGTCAGAGTTGATTTTCCTACTTCAGGCCTGGCCCCGCCCTCGCAGAAGTGCCCCGCCCCCTCGCTGCCGTGGTGGCGTGGCCCGGCAGCGTCTCTGCTCAGAGAGTGTCTGTTGCTGCTGCACTGGCTGCTGCTGCATCACGGCAGCTTCTCTGAGAACTGCCGGCCGCTGCTGCACATGTACGACCAGGTGATCCCCGCCGTCCGAGACACGCTGAGGAAGATCCCTGAGCTGAGCGAGAGCGAGGGTACAGACACAAACCCACACTCGCATATAGCTATTGTTAGCACTCATTTGATGGTTTTCTAGCAACAATAATAACTTCAGTTATTTCTTCACAGTCCACATACTTTTGGCCACTCAGAAGTAAACAGACTGGTGTGTTTTCCACTTCCTGTTTCCTGTCTTGTCAGAGCTGGCGTTGGAGGAGATCTGCCGCTCGGAGGGCGACGACACTGATGACATGGACACTGATGCTGGCTCCTGATTGGCTGCTGCCACTGACTCCACCAGTGAGCGAACACAAAAGACAGTTTACTGACTGCTGAATGGATAATTCAGGCTGAGAAGAGGACAGAGCAAAGACCGAAGTGGATGTTAGAGAGAAAAGTGAGAGGATTCATTCTGCTGTCTGAGATTTAACAATAAAATGTAAAGGTGAGACGAACTGCTGCTGTCAGAGTTCATGTTCAGTGTGTTTCTTTCCTTCTTCCAGTCTCTCTGTCTGTACTCTGGTGTATCTCTCTGGTTCACACCTTTATTTAACTTTATTAATACTTTCTTCTGTTGCTCAATATGCAGCAGCAGTTTAGTATCTCAGTGTAAAGGTGTAATCTTGAAAATGGTGAGAAGAACTCCTGCACACTGTCTCGCATGCTGCTGAAATTTGACTATATTTCAAGATTTTATTTCTCCAATGAGAAAGTACGTTAAAGGAGCTGTATTTAACATTCTGACGATTAATAAAGCAGCAAACCACGATTATCTATGTAAAGATGTAGAGGAGTAATGTCTACCTGAGTGTCTACACTCTATGTGTGTTGTTAACCGAGCTTCTCCTCGCTAACACCAGTAATAAAACATTGAAAACAAAAACAGTTCGGGACCAGAACAGCTTGTGAAACATCTTTATTTATTCTTCTGCTGTAACTGAGGTCTGAGTGACGCGTTCATAAGAAGGCATCCTATTGGCTGGCTGCAGGTCTGTTGGGTTGCATCGGTCAGTCGGATAAACACAAGACTGGAGTGTTTATTAAAAATATGATTAAAGTGGTTCACTCAAGATTAAAACTTAATTATGATTCAACACACGGTGCTTTTATGAGGTCCTTTATACTGAGATTTAATTAACAATGTTGCTCTGAAATATCATGAATAGTTTTCTTAAGATCACAAATTGAAGGTTGATCAGAGCTGTTCTTAATATTATTATTATTGCAATAATGAACATATCCAGGGGAAATTAGATGTCATGTCTCAAGAAAACAAAGAGCAATTTGAAGTAATTATGAATTTTTTTTTTTTTCTTCTGAATAATGGTTTTCATGAGCACCACAAAAACAGAATTATTGAATGAGAAGGTGAAACATATTTCAGTGATCGCGGCAGCTAAACTGGCTATTTATGTTTCTCAGAAAGTCTTTCCAACACTGACTGATCCTTCTCTTATAACACTGGGGAGCAACCAGGAAGTGTGAACACTGAAATAAAGTAGCTGTGTCCCCATTTTATGCTCCGATGCTCCAATGGTGTGTTGAGTGTTCATCAGAAATGATCGTGTGAGCTGGTGTTGGAAGTGGAGATCAATCACTTCACAAGTTGATGAACAGCACCCGAACACACCGTTGGTTCTGGTTCTGGTGGAACCGGTGACTCTGTTGTGAATCTGTCGGAGCTTGATTTGAGACGCAGCGAGAGGAAGGCACCTGATGGTCGCGTCAAGTAATCCAGGATCGGACTGTCTATGTACTGTGTGTGAGACTTGTATGTCTATCTTTGCGAGGACCAGTTTGAGTTGTGAGGACGAGTGTTAATTTTGTCAGGCTTTTTTTTTCTTCTTTTTTTGGGGTCAGAGTCCTGTGTCAGATGTCCGTATTATTTTTTTATCACATTTAGTCAACATCATCCTGTTTATTTTAGTCGGGATTTAGTTTAGTTGTATCTTTTAACTATTTTATTATAGTCTTAGTTAATGAAAACTGTTGAGATTATAGTCTTTTGTTAGTTATTAGATTAGATTATATATATTTCAATCAAGCTAGTCGAGCAAAAATATCTTAATTTCTTTCTCCAAAGCCCAGTTGTTTTCATTGTTAACTTGCGGGGAAAAAAGTATTTTAAAAATAAATTCTTCCCCTTTTTTTGTCAGCAAAAAAGTTTTAATTTTTTTGACTGAATTTTAGTCGTCTTATTTCGTCAACAATATTGCACGTTGATATAATCTCTAATTGTTTAATGCCTTCTGGAAGAAAAGCATTAAAGTTAAAGTTAATGCTTAGAAGTTAGAATCAGGTTTAGGTGAAGTTTAGTGAGGGGCTAAAAGGATGAAATGTATCAATGTGGGTCCTCACAAGTATAGAAGTACAATCGTGTGTTAGTGTTTTTCGGTCCACGTCGGCACCACCTGGTCATCGTCCTCTTGTTTATTACTCTGTAGTGTTTTGTGCGAGCTGTAGTGCGTCTTGTTCGGGTTGTGATGTGTCGGGCGAGGACCGTTCAGCCACGGGTGCATCAGCAGCTCCGACGCCGTCAGCCTCTCTGCGGGCGACTTCCTCAGCATGCAGCCAATCAGACACTTGGCTCGCGGCGACAGCCAGTCGGGCACGCTGAAGGCCCCGCGGCGGATCTTGGCGAACAGCGCGGCGGGCTGCGTGTCCTGAAACGGGTATCGTCCAATCAGCATGGTGTACAGAGACACGCCCACGCTCCAGATGTCTGCGGCGCGGCCCGAGTAAGACCCGTTCCCATTGGTCAGCAGCTCGGGGCTGACGTAGGCGGGGCATCCGTGTCTGTCCGTCAGAGTGTCGTCGTCGTGATTACCGTGCAGGAGGACGCAGTCGTCGAGACCGAGCAGAGCAAGACGCGTCCTGCAGAAACGAAGGACCCACAATGCATCAGCAGTGACAAGAGTAGTATCTGTAGTACTAATGGTAGTTAAAGTAGTGTAAAAGGTATTACTACTGGTATTTCTTTAGAGTATTTGTGTGTGTGTGTTATATCAGAGTACTTTGTAATTCTCACCTGTATTTGTCGGTGAAGACGAACCTGCGGAGCTTCAGGTCTCGGAGGACGACTCCGTGGTGATGACAGTGCATCACGGCGTTCAGCATCTGAGCGAACAGAAGCCCCGCCTCCTCCTCGCCGAGACGCTTCCTGCTTCTCACGTACGCGTGCATGTCGCCGTAGTGACCGGGCAGGAAGACGTACACGCTGTCCTGACCAATCACCACATCCAGCAGGCCGCAGATGTTGTCGTGGTCAGCGATGCGGGCGTAGGCCGCCAACCGCTCTTGGTAACCACGTAGAGGAAGCACCTGTAAACATGACATATATTACTACCGGCATCAGAAGTATAAGTAGTGTTTCCATCAACCACAGTATTCTTTTCGGGATCAAGAATATCAGTATTTTCAGGAGTATGAGTAGTGTTTTTATCAGTACAGGTAATATAACTAGCAATATCTGTAGTATTTTCAGAAGTTTTTGTAGTATTTTGCACTTTAAACAGTAATTTTATGCAGTATCAGTAATATTTTTTGCAGTATCACAATATTTTCAGAAGTATTTTGCAGTATTTATGGCTGCATTGTTGGCAGTATATGTGGTATTTTTAGAAGTATTAGCAGTATTTTTGTGGTATACGTAGTATTGTTGCAGTAGGAGTAACACTGGTAACTCTACCTGGCAGGTGTACTGCTGCTTTGTGAGTGTGTGCTCGGCCCTGTAGCTCTTCTCCCCCTCGCAGCGTTCAAACAGGAAGTACGATCCCACTCTCGATGGGGATTGGCTCTGGTTGGACTTGGGGGCGGGGCTTCTGGGACTGAGGCAGTGTGATAGGCCGATGGCGGGTAGGTTCGGATCCAGACGAGCTACTTTGCATTTCACAGTGTCCTGGGGCTCGTCCAGTAGCCTCTTCAGACACAGCTGAGACCGGGCTGCGGCCATGCCCATGCTCATCTGTGATTGGAGGAGACAAGTGACATCATCAGGTTAGTTACAACTTAAAGCTTTATTGTTACTGTAAAGCAGCTGCAGGAGGCGTGTCTGTCGACGTGATTTTTTTTGTGCTTTTTCTTTGAAAAACGATGCTAAGAGAGCGGAGAGAATGAACCAAAAGATGCAACCGGACGGCTAAACAATAAAACTCTGTAAAGGAGCTGCAGATTCAGATGATAAATCTCTGTAAGGTTCATCACTACTAACAACTTCTTTCACATCATCATTTCATCAGCTTGTCATTATCATAATATTGATTTATAGCGGCATTAAGTCAGCAGATTTCAGTTTGTTTTTATGGTTTAGCTTGAGTGTGTTTCAGGTAAGATCGTGTGTAACTTATTTTTGATAATAATCCAATGTAAAAATCCAGTCAGCCATCCCTGCAGCACTCTACTGTGGACAGTTTAAAGTTACTATCTTGAGATATCGTTCTCGTTGGCACCTAATGTCGTAAATAAGTGGAAATTGCAGGTGTGGCTGCCGTGTATGGATTTTTTCCGGGAACGTCGCCATAGATTTCCAGTTTGTAATACTGAAGCAAGAGCTTTCATCAATCACTGTTGCGTTACCTCATTTGGCAACAGACATTAACAGACATTTAATTCAATGACAATCTTCGGGATCATCACTTCAAGTGCAACAACTTTAATGTAGATAAGAAGTTGTTGGAGCTTCTGTAAACTGTCTGGTAGAAACGTTTGAGCTGAGCCTCCTCCCTCCACTAAACGCTCCTCGGTTCTACTTCCACATACAGTAAGTAAGAGTTGTATTAGCATCACATCTCCTCGCGTGTCTCTGCTGTTCACATGCTTATGTGTCTATAGGCTTCATGATGCAACTTCCTGTAAGCTGACAGACGCTTCAGCTTTCAAATCGTTGCATCAGAGCACAACAGTTTATAGTTTAAACAGGCTTTAAATACAGTCAACACACACACACACACACACACACACACTGCGAGAGAGTGTCTCTTCTTGACTTTACTGTACTCTACTGGACTGTTCTGGACTCTTCTTGACTTTACTGTACTCTACTGGACTGTACTGGACCTCTACTGAACTCTACTGGACTGTACTGGATCTCTTCTAGACTGTACTGTGTGTGCACATTTCCGTCATGTAATTGGAAGTTGAAACCTTTTGTGATTTTAATAAATTAAAGTTAAACGACTACGACTCCAATAAACAATGAGACTCATGACGGCTCGTCTTCTCTTTACAAACTCATCCTGAAACTCAACCGCAACCTTTCAGTATCGTTTAATCCGCCATTTATTGTCTCCTTTTAATTAATAAATGGTTTTGCTTTATACAATGTTAGAAAATAGAGTTAAAATGTCCAGTCTCCCAAAATTCACGGTGATGTCTTCAAATGTCTTATTTTCTCAGACCAACGGCCCAAAATCCCCCAAAAAATTCAGTTTACAATATTTAAAAATAAAAATAAACACAAATCCTTAAATTTGAGAAGCCAGAATTTTCTGTATCTGTCGCAATAACCGCTTAAAGAAATAACTTAAACTGCTAATCGATCATCAGCATTGTTGCTGATCATTTTTACTGTTGATTGACTTTCATATAAGAGCTTTCACGTATTTTACAATATAATATTTTATAGTTAACTCTATTTTTCCTGCTACAGTTTGTCTTCTTTGTTGGTGCCTGATAAACATGGATACTTATTACTGATTGGACCAGCTGGCTCGCTAACAGCTCATCATCAGTCATTTTTATTTATATGTCTTTATTGCTCTCGATCATAACTGAGTCTAATTCACCTTGTGTTTGATTATATTTGTGTTCTTAGTGCTCACTCGAGCTGCAGTACGGAAATGTCTAGAAGCTTTTCCTTCAGGTCAATCAAAGCGTCAAAGTTTATTCTTGATCTTTTCACTAAGAGTACTTTGACCAAACAATCTCAACTCAAGGGCCCCACTTACTAGCTTCTTCCCAGAACTCTCTACTGAATCCTCACACAGTGTGCCGCCACGGACAAAAAGTCTACAAAAGGTCAAAACCGTAAAAAAAAAAAAAAAAAAAAGCAGCTACTGAGCTCTTGTGTCAACAGACACATCTCCATGACAGCAGAGCACACTCATCCTCTGATGATGAAGAGGAGGATGAAGACCATTCTATAGTTTCATTAGCTCTACTCAGCAGAGTCCAGTAGAATCTGCTCCACTCTACTGAACTCTGCTGGACTATCAGTGCTGTAAAATGACAGAAGAGTATTTACTCAAAGTACTGTACTCGGGTATTTGTACTTTACTTGCGTACTCTGCTGATGTGTAGCACATCGTCAAGGTATTTTTAACCTACTGCATTAAACTGACAGCTGTTTACTTTCAATACATATTTAACAATAAAAGATGAACTTATAAGATATTATCATTTCTACAGATAAAACTACCAAAAAACTACATTAAATAGGTAAAGGGCTCCAGCAGGTACAACATAATACTGTTTACTCACTAATGCATCAGTATAAGTCAACTATAAATATGAATTTAACACTCGTAATTCTGCATAACGAGTGCTGATTATACTTTTAAATATACTTTAAAGATACTCGTTGTATTACTTGAATGAACGACCTTTTGTATAATGTGTTCCTGCTGCTTGTAAAATAAAGGATCCGAGTACTTCTTCCACCTCTGATCTCAGGTCTGTTTCTTACCTTGTTCTCTTCAGACAGACGGACTGGTTCGGTCTGCAGGTCAACAGGAAACCGGTAGACTCGGTAGAAACCCAGTAGAGTCCGCGTGGAGCCGATGGTCTGTGTGTCCGTCTGTCTGTCTGTGCTCCAGAAGTTGTTGAAGACATAAAAATAAAACGTTTTCTTTGGAGTTTGAACTGGAACCAGCAGCTCTGATACTGGGAGAACTGGCGTCCGGGATGACGTCTTTGTCTCGTTGTATTATTATTGTCTCGGTTGCGCAACGTGTCGTCAGTCAGCTGTTAGTTCCGTTTCTTCAGTCTCAAGTTTTTCTCTGATTGTAAAAAGAATAAAATAACCGAAACTGTTTTGTTTTTAAATAAAAACTTAAAATGAAACTATTTTTTTTTAAATATATCTCCGGAGCTGAAGCGAACAAAGCCGAGTCAACCCGAGTCCTCTCTGTCCGTCCGCCGGAGTTTAAAATGAAATAATATCCGTGTGTCGTTCTGCGTTAGATCCAGTCTGACCCCGCTCGTCTCCAGAACTTTCCGGCGCACTGAGGACTCGGACTGACTCCGGGTCTGTTTGGTTGGTAGGTCTGGTTACGTAGTTCCATCCTGCAGGGGGGCGGAGCCTAGATGGTGCAATCCTGAGCCGATCAGTCGTCAGAAAACAGACACGAGACTCAACGGAGCGGTTTCGTTATGAGTCTTCATGTTGACTGTGAGTGGTGGAGGGAGTACTCTTTTACTTTTGTTATCAATGCAACAGTTGTATAAATAAAGTTTATTACAATTAAAAGTTATCTTGAGTAAAAGTACAAACGTATTATTTATCCAAATATACTTACCAAAATTAAAAGTACTCATAGTGCAGAAGGACTAGTATTATAATGCAGTATATGAGGTTTTCCTCTGACAGTAATACTA